AACCATGTGATGCAGCTGAGAAAAAGGCTAATATTCTAGCCATATGTACAACACAGAAGGTAACTGTTCCGCTCTACTCAGCACTGGAGAAGCCTCAGCTGGAGAACTGTGCCCAGTTCTGGACACCAAAGTTTAAGATGTGGACAAGTTGGAGAGAGTCCAGAAGAGAGCAATAAAAATTATAAGAGGTTTAGAAAATCTGAACTATAGGGAAAGGTTAAAAAAAACTGGGCATGTTTAGTCTTGAGAAAAGAAGACTGAGCGGGAACCTGATAGCAGTCTTCAAATATGTTAAGGGCTTTTATAAGAAGGACTGTGCGCAATTATTCTTCATGTCCACTGAAGGTAGGACAAGAATTAATGGGTTTAATCTGCAACAAGGGATATTTAGGTTAGATATTAAGAAAATCTTTCTAACTATAAGGACAGTTAAGCTATGGAACAGGGGTTTCCACAGCACGCTGTGGAATCCCCATCATTGGAGATTTTAAAGGACAGGATGGTCAAACACCTGTCAGGGATAGTGTAGGTGTACTTGGTCCTGCCTCAGCACAGTGGGCTACACTTGATGACTTCTCAAGGTCCCTACCAGCCATACATTTCTATGGTTGTATTATTTAGTAGCAACAAATACAGAGCATTATTAATTGAATTATGAAGGGAGCTTAGCTCTGTCTTTTTTGCCAAAAGATATCATGTTGATAAGAAGTCAGCAATATACACAAATCTAATTTTAACTATAATTAATCATGTATAAATTTATGCATATATGTCTGGAGATCATCTTTATAATGGCTTTTACAGAAAAGCAAACCTTTTTTGCTGTGAGTTCCCCCTACAGCAAACATTTCTCTAACATTCTTCTGCAGTGTTACCTGCTGGTAGGGACATCCTTATGCACAGGTGACTGAAGACTAGGCTATGAAAAAACAGAGGTACTATTTGTACCCTCCCACACAACAAAAAAAGGAGTCAAGGTGATAATACAGAAGATTGGCAGTAGCAGGCTTCAAGGAAACTTGTCCTGGCGCAACCTCTTCGGGCAGCAGGATCTATAATATATCACTAAACTAGTTAGAAACTTAAATCACAAAGCTTAAAACTGTTACCTCAAAGTCTTAAAAATAAGTACATTCCGACATGTAATAGTGTCTCCTTCTCCATCTCCTCCACCCAGCAAACAAGTCTGTTGCTAGTTAAGTGAGGGTCTAGCTCAGTGTGCTTTTTTCTCTCTCTTTTCATTACAGAAAATGCCTCTCTTATAGCTAAGGCTACGATTTGGTCACGGGGGTCACGGAAGTCATGGAATCCATGACTTCGGCAGACCTCCATGACTTCAGCACGTAGCGGCTGGGGGCTGCTGGCTACCCCCACCTCCTCTGGTGGCTGGGAGCTTTGGGGTACCCCTGCCGCCTGGAATGGCGGGGTCCCCCACAGCTCCCCAGTCGCCACAGGTACGGGGGTCCCTCACAGCTCCACAGCTCCCAGGCAGCTCCTCAGCCGGTGGCGGCAGGGGAATCCTCCGCAGCTCCCCAGTCCCCATGGGTTCCGGGGACCCCCGGAGCTCCCTAATCCCTATGGACGGTGGGGGGAATCCTCCGGCAGCTACCCAGCCACCACAGGTGTGGGGGTCCCCCACAGCTCCCAAGCAGTTCCTCAGCTGGCGGCAGCAAAATCCCCCACAGCTCCCCAGTCCCCATGGATGCCGGGGACCCCCATAGCTCCCTAATCCCCGCAGACGGTGGGGGGAATCCCCTCACAGCTCCCCAGACACCGTGGGGAGAATCCCCCGGCAGCTCCCCAGACACCGTGGGTGCTGTGAATCCCCTGAGCTCCCCAGCCACCACGGGTGTGGGGGGAATCCCCCAGAGCTCTCCAGTCCCCACAGGCAACCCCCACAGCACCCAGTCACAGCAGGGCAGGGTGCTGGACCCTCCTCCTTCCACCTATGTGTCATGGACATTTTTAGTAAAAGTCAGGGACAGGTCATGGCTTCTGTGAATTTTTGTTACTTGCCCGTGACCTGTCCATGACTTTTACTAAAAATGTCCATGACAAAAATCATAGCCTTAGTTATAGCAAAGCCAAGTTAGTTGCTCTAGTGTTCCTTATATGATCTACTGAAAAACAGTTTTGAATGGCTCATCCTTCTTCCCCTTTACTTAAGCAACATGAAGAGCATAGGTCCTCCCTTCTTTAACCCATTAAATCAAACTCCAATATTGAGTCATTACTGTTTTTTATTTCATTTAACTTGCCAATATCCAACTGCGGGCTGTTGGTCCAAGATCATAGGTACAATTTATCCCTATAGAAATTATCTAAAAATGCAACAATTCTATACAAAACTATAAATCAGCTATCCAGTTATAGGCATCTATCCAAGACCAATTGTGGGACTGTATGACAGACTGCTGGAAACCAAAAGCTGAGCCAGCACTCTGACCACTTAAACACCAATTAATTCCTCCAAACTCAAGGATGGACCTGACTGTGCCCAATTAGCAGATTAGAATGGGCTGAGGAGGACTAAAGAGCTAATTAGCCCATTACCACAAAGGATAGAAGGTGGTACAGGAAGGAAGTGCTGAAGAGAGAGGCAAGTTAATTGAGCCAGAACCAAGAAGGATCTCTCAGTGAACAGCTTTCTTCCCTCTCCTGGGCAGAGGGCTGAGGAGAAACCTGATGCTGTAAATGAGGTGGTGAATGGACCAACAAGGTCATTGGAAAAACCATGTACATAAACTACCCGGTAGTATTTAACAATGGAAGGTGTCCGAATAGTCTGTGTAGACAGAGCAGAAGACAGGGGCAGGGTCTCACTCTGTCACAGACTGCTACAAACAATCTTACTCCAAGTTTATAAGCCACAGAACAGGCACAGTTGTCTATCATTACTTATTAAAATTTTCTCTTAATGCAAGAAAATCACCGACTCAAGTGACATTTTTAAAGTTAATAAGTTTGGTCAGCATTATTATTACTAAAGGCCACATTTTTAAGCAGAGCCAAGTCCTTGGAGGATCCTTGATCTTTTGCACTGGAAACCAAGAACCAAGTGCAGTCAGACACTACTATTTATAAGTCAAAAACATGGCAACTTGCCATTTGAACTGGCTACTTGTTCCATTTCTTCAACAAGCACTTCTCATATTCAAATCTCACACTAAGCTAGACAAATTCAGATTCACAAAAACAATAAAGACCTTCAATATCCACCTAGATACTGTTGAGAAAAGTCAGTTATGGCGATCTAGTGTTGGAGTGATTGCATAAGTTTGTTCAAAATAGTGATGGTTTTTATGAAAATTTTCTTTTAATCTAGTTTTAAGTAAAATTTAGTTAAAGATTTTGGTTCTTAAAGCATATTTTATCATTGTGTACGTTTCACATATGTTTCATGCATCAAAGAGTACTTTTAACTATTTTAACATTTAACTATTTTAGTTATTTCTATCTTCAGCAGACAAATAAACATCAGTGGATAAACTTACTGAGAGGATGCTGTGGGAAGTTTTCTTGACTGGAGTCTCTTACTACTCTCTAATTGTCTCAATATTAGAGAAACATTCCAAGAGAATTAGACTAATTAAAGGACTTTGATTACTGGAGGCTTCTCTCTGTCCTCTTAGATTTTGATAAGTTAAGACCATAAGTTACTGGGGTAGGCCAATGGTCCATCTAGCCCAGTATTCTGTCTTCCAGCAGTGGCCAGTATTGAACCATCAGCAAGTTCGCGGATGACACTAAGCTGGGGGGAGAGGTAGATACGCAGGGTAGTGATAGGGTCCAGAGTGACCTAGACAAATTGGAGGATTGGACCAAAAGAAATCTGATGAGGTTCAAAAAGGACAAATGCAGAGTCTTAGGACAGAAGAATCCCATGCACTGCTACAGGCTGGGGACCGACTGGCTACGTGGCAGTTCTGCAGAAAAGGACCTGGGGATTACAGTGGATGAGAAGTTGGATATGAGTCAACAGTCTGCTCTGGTTGCCAAGAAGGCTAACAGCATATTGGGCTGCATTAGTAGTAGCATTGCCAGCAGATTGAGGGAAGTGATTATTCCCCTCTATTCGGCACTGGTGAGGCCACATCTGGAGTACTGCGTCCAGTTTTGGGCCCCCCACTACAGAAAGGATGTAGACACATTGGAGAGAGTCCAGCGGAGGGCAATGAAAATGATTAGGGGGCTGGGACACATGATTTATGAGGAGAGGCTGAGGGAACTGAGCTTATTTAGTCTGCAGAAAAGAAGAGTGAAGGGGGATTTGATAGCAGCCTTCAACTACCTGAAGATGTGTTCCAAAGAGGATGGAGCTAGGCTGTTCTCAGTGATGTCAGAACAAGGAGCAATGGTCTCAAGTTGCAGTGGGGGAGGTCTAGGTTGGATATTAGGAAAAGCTATTTCACTAGGAGGGTGGTGAAGCACTGGAATGGGTTACCTAGGGAGGCGGTGGAATCTCCATCCTTAGAGGTTTTTAAGGCCCGGCTTGACAAAGCTCTGGCTGGGATGATTTAATTGGGGTGGGTCCTGCTTTGAGCAGGGGGTTGAACTAGATGACCTCCTGAGGTCTCTTCCAATCCTAATCTTCTATGATTTTATGAAAAGCCTTCCCTCTATCAACTCTGAAATCCACCTCTATGCCAATCCCCCTCCCCCATCTTGCAGCTTTTGTGTTAGAGATATGGTGCACCATTTAAGAGCAGCCCTGGGGTTCCTCTAACAATGCCAGAGGTTTGGAAGTTCTCCACTAGAGAGTGAATACAGATGCTTTAAAGGTGACTTAAAGCTATCTTTGCAGACCCGAACTCTGTTCTTGTGCTAAGCATAGCTCAGCCAGAATGGAGCTTTTAATCTGCTTGTCAAATTTGTACGTACCTTCCTTTTTAATGTATTAAAGAAACTATTGCTTTATCAGATCCATAGACGCTCATTTGGGAGGCTGAATGTCTACTTTTCCAAGATAGTACTGTACTATAAAGAAAAATATCTCTTACCTGTGCAGCCGCTCCATCTCTAACTGATGTTCTTTAAGTTTTTGTTGATATTGGTACTGCAGAGCCTCTTGTTTCTGGGTTTCCTTGAGAAGTGTTTGTTGCAGCTTATCCAGCTGTATCCTAAGATCGCTAACTTCTGCCTGTTTAGCATTTTCAGCCATTTTCAAATGAGTAAACATGGCATCATAGCGCTCCAGTTCTCTGTCTCTCTCTTCCAGAATTTTCAGATTATAGGTGAAATCTTCTTTTAACCTATTGAATTTTTTATGCATTTCTTGGAGCTGCTTTCTGGTATCCTGCAATGTTGTCTTCTGAAAACAGAGATGGCGAGCTTGTAGCTCTTTCCATTCTTGTTCTTTCCTCACAAGAAGTTCATTTAGTTCTTTCTCCATTTGTAACATTGTTGAGCCTAAGATAGAAGAAAGTTACTGATTGGAGCCTGATGACTGAAAAATGTCTCCTCTCCAATCATTCACTTCTCCACACTCCATCTGTTGTACTGCATAATTAGTTAGATGTTTTATGGACTTAAAGTGGACTTTAACTTTTTCTGAAATATCAGATATTGGTCATGGCTAAGAGCAGGAAGCTATTTATCTTACATGACCCCCGCCCTCATAATCTTTTCAATGTATTTATCCTCATTACACCTTAGTGAGATAGGTAAGTACGATTATCCCTGATTAAGCAGATGGAAAATTGAGGCACAGGAGACTCAGAGACTTGCCCAATGGCACACAGGAAGTCTGTAATAAAGCAGGAAATTTAACTGAGGAGTCCTGAATCCCAGGATAGCACTCAAAACACTGGACCATTCTTCATGTCTGTGTTCCACTTCATCCCTTCACCAATCTATTCTTTTCCTCCATTTTCTGTATGGTAACTGGGATTTCAAAAGCCCATTGGGAGGAGAATAGTCCACAAGATACCAAAATCACTGGTTATAAACTTAGGGGGAAGTTTTAAATTTAAATTTTAGTTTTAAATTTAAACTCAGATTATGAATGTCCAGCATTTTCCCACAAACTCCGTTAAAATTCCTGTGAAGGATAATTATGCAGGTGAGGGCCATGTCGCACAGGTGTAATACCCCTAGCCAGAGGGTCTTTTCGCAATGCCACACATCCGATCTTATCCATTTTTGCTTTTAAATTCCTTGGCCATGTCTACAATAGGAAAAAAAAGGTGTATTTTTAACATGAGTTAACTAACGTGTTAAATTCCTACGGTGTGTCTGTAACAACCTGGCCCAGTCTCCTTCTGAATGGACACATATCTGTTTTGAGTAGACCCAACTGCTCAATCCCACATTCTCCTAAACCAGGGTCTAGACAGAACCTACTCACAATTCCTAGCTCTTGGTCTGTAAGGCATACTTCCAGGCCCAGACCCATTGTTTGACCCCTTCTTTGGGATATGGTTTGGTGGCCTCCAGGCTCCGGAACCAGTGCCTCTGCCCTCCTAAGCCCCCCACATGATACCTCAGAGTTCCACGGTGGTTCTGAACACTTTAGGCTTCTAGTTTAACCGCTTCAGGCCCAACGTGGTATGAAGGCAAGGAACACAAACTTAACAAAGGAATTTCTTATCCAGTCACTCTACTCTTAAAAAGCACTAGAGAGTTACAGTGACTCTCTAGTTTGATTTCTCTCCTCCTGCGAATCTGAGATCTAGTCAGTATTTCAGTCTATGCAGAGTCCCTCTCTTCTGCCTTCCTTTTCTCTCTCCAGCCTGGTCTTCTGTCATGTGTTAGTGAATGATCTCCACTTCTGTAAGAGCACCCCCTCTTATATACAATCTTACTCACTCTAGCCATGTGCCCAGACTGAGGCTTGGTCTACACCTAAAACTTAGGTCAATCTAGCTATGTGGCTCAGTGATGTCAAAAATTCAGATGCAAGCGACATAGTTAACCCAACCTATGCCACAGTATAGACACCATTAGGTTGATGAAAGAATTCTTCCATCAACTTAGCTACCATCTCTAGAGGGGGTAGATTTTCCACAGCAATGGAAAAACCCTTTCCATCACTGTAGAAAGCATCCACACTACAGTGTTACAGCAGCCTGGCTTCAGCACTGCCATGTGGTGCTTGTTGTGTAGACACAGCTTGAGAAACTCTAGCCCCTTCCCCCCCATGCAGGCTTTTGTGTTGACAGTTCACTGTGCCATTGGGTTAGGTAGAGCCAGCAGTTGAGAGACAATCCAAGTTGATGGCCCTAGATTGTTCTATGATGGATCCTAAATTATAGACAGCACCCCTGCAGCTCCCATTGGAGCACTGGAGGGGGCCATGCCGCGGCTTCTGGGAGCCAGGTGGTGCGGCCCTCGACCCTGCACCCCGGCTGGAGCGCCGGAGTGGGGCCATGCCGCGGCTTCCGGGAGCCGCGTGGTGCGGCCTCCGACCCTGCGCCCCGACTGGAGCTCCGGAGCAGAGCAAGCTCCAGACCCCACTCCCCAGCAGGAGCTCGTGGGCCACCTTAAAACAGCTTGTAACCCGGATCCGGCCCGCGGGCCATAGTTTGCCCACCCCTGTTCTAGGTGTTTGCAAACTGATTGCTTAATTATTTGCTTCATTATCTTTCCAGGTACTGAAGTTAAAATGACTGGTCTGTAATTCCCCAGGTTGTCCTTATTTTCCTTCTTATAGATGGCCAAATACAATGCCATTTTTCAGTCCTCTGGAATCTCTCCCGTCTGCCATGACTTTTCAATCTAATCACTAATGCAGGGGTGGGCAAACTACGGCCCGCGGGCCGGATCCGGCCCCTCAGGGCTTTAGATCTGGCCTGTGGCACCGCCGGCACCACATCCCTGCAGCCCCCGGGCGGGGGGGCAGAGGGCTGCATGCATTGCCCTTGCCTCCAGGCACCGCCCCCCACAGCTCCCATTGGCCGGGAACGGGGAACTGTGGCCAATGGGAGCTTCGGGGGAGGCACCTGGAGGCGTGGCAAGGGCAGTGCACGCAGAGCCCTCCGCCCCCCCTCCCCCAGGGGCCGCAGCGCTTCCTCGAGCGGCGCGGGGCCAGGGCCGGGGCCAGGGCAGGCAGGGAGCCTGCTGGTCCCAGTGTGCGCAGTTGCCATCCCGGAGCCGCTTGAGGTAAGCAGGGCTGGAGCCCAAACCCCTCCTGTACCCCGCCCCCCAACTCCCTGCCCTAAGCTCCCTACCTGCACCTCAACTCCCTGCCCTGATCCCCCTCATGCACCCCGCACCCCTTCTGCCCCCCAACCCCCTGCCCTGAGCTCCCTGCTGCACCCTGCACCCCTCCTGCACTGCAACCCCCTGCCCTGAGCCCCCTCCTGCAGACCATACCCCTCCTGCACCCCAACTCCCTTCCCTGAGCCCCCTCATACACCCCGCACCTCTCCTCTGCCCCAATCCCTTGCCCTGAGCCCCTTCCTGCACACCGCACCCCCTCCCACACTCCCTCCCACACCCCAACCCCCTGCCCCGGCCCTGCATACTATTTCCCCATCCAGATGTGGCCCTCGGCCCAAAAAGGTTGCCCACCCCTGCACTAATGGCTCAGATACTTCCTCAGTCAGCTCCTTGAGTATTCTAGGATGTATTTCATCAGGCCCTGGTGACTTGAAGACATCTAACTTGTCTAAGCAATTTTTAACTTGTTCTTTCCCTATTTTAGCCTCATTTTCACTGGCATTCACTATGTTAGACATCCAATCGCTACTAACCTTTTTGTTTCAGTTTTCACCAAAAAAAGTCATAATAGTCATAATTATGCAGCATAATAGACTGACCTTGTCAAGATCGGCTGGTTTTTTGACACAGAATACAAAATGGCAGTTAGCAGATAAAGACAGGATGCAACAATGGAAGTCACAAAACAAAATTAAGTTCATAATTTGATAGACATACACTATTACAGTGTTTGCACTATCCTTTTTTCCCCTTCAAGCTAACTGATTGCCAACTAAACGTGTAAAGGCTAGTATGGGCACTCGCTATACTTTGTTCCAGGGTACAAACATTTGTTCTTTATCCTAGGACAGTGGTTTTCAAACTAGGGTACGCAAGCTCTTGTCAGGGGGCATGTGAGAAAAATCCTGTACTGGCAGACCACACATTTTATTTAATACAGAACTTTTCAAACTATGGAGCACGTACCCCTAATGGGGGCGCAGAGGACTGTTCGCGGGGGGGGGGGGGGGGGGGAGCTAGGGCCCCCCCCCCACAGCGGGGGGCCGGGGGGGGGCGCCCCCCCCCCCCCCCCACCCCCCTCCGCAGGCCACCACCCTGTCTGGGTTGGGGGGGGGGGCGCAATGAGCTAAGCCCCCCCCCCTTGGAGTTACATTTTTAGTTGTGCTCCCCCAAACACAGACAGGCTGGGTGGCCCACTGAGTTGAGTCAGGCGATGGAGGTGGCGTTCCCTCCCTGAGCCACCTGGCATTGCTGCTCGCCCCCCCTGTACATTCCTCTGTGCTCCCCTAGAGGGGGGGTGCACCCCACAGTTTGAAAACTTCTATAAGCTGCTGCCAAATAGAAGGCAGAAAACTTGGGGGGCACAATAGAAGGCAGAAAACTTCTGTATCTCAGAAGATGAGTCAAATAATTACAATATTTTTAAATTATCTTTAAATCTACCTCTCAAGATGTGCACAAGCCTAAACTGAGTAATCTTATTGCTGTAACCCTTGTCCATTCTCACCCTCTTCCTACTGTTTTTTATCCTCAATCATTTACATCCTATCTAGTATATTATAAATTCTTCAGGACAGGGACCATGACTTTCCATTTATTCTGTACAGTGCCATTCACACTTCTGGGTGCTGTAAAAATAATATATGATAGTCTCTGCTCAGCCCCTTTTCCTAAATCTCTGGAGTCAGTACAGATGCTCTCACAGCACAGTGTTATTCTGTATCAGTTATTACAGATAATCCTGCCTGTATAAGCATGGGGATACAGAGAACAATAAATCAGACAGGCAGGTCTTTCCAATGGTGGCTCTTTAATCTCTTAAAATGCAAAATAGATTTTCAGATCAGCAAACCTGATACAATATCCCTGCTCCAAAAGGATGCTACATTTTAAACATGATTTCTTTCCCCATACACCTAACAAATCTCATTCTTCAAGGTTTAAAATTTAGTCTGTGAGGGTCAGGATGGAAAATGATAAGCAGCATAGTATTCTGAGGAAGCTTTGTTTTTCTCTGACAAATCACATAGTAACCATTGTTAGAGGAATCAGTGGTCTGGATGGATTTTAAAATTTGCTGTGGCTCAGTTTTGCCATTGTCATTACTGTTTCCATTAATGGAAGAAAAATTAAATGGAATACTCTCTTCAACTTAAATTTGATAGTTGTGTATTTATGGAGAAGGTGTTCACAATACTATAATCCAATCTCTCTTTTTACTTTAGTAGGCAGAGATGGATA